GATTTTTTTTACATTTTATATATATATACCATACATATATCATGTATTTATATATGTGTTATTTTTACTCTTTAAATTTAGCTAATGTAAATTATATCTTTATTTCATTTAATATTTTTTAATCTAGTTTATAGAAATAATTATAATACAAATCAAGCAAATATTTAAAAAAATTATAAGTCCTATAGTTAGACTCCAAATAATTTTTCTACAAATCCTGGGTGTAATCTTGAGCCCACGGATTCTGCGATAGGGCCTGCGTACGATTTAGGCGTCCCAAACTTTACACAGGTTCTAGTTAGATTTGTCACCTGGATTCCATGCAGAAATATTTTGAAAAGAATGTATGGAACCCTGATTATTTCCAGACAAAATTTCTATCTGGGATGAAATAAACCGAAATGTTCAAACTACAAAGTGTAAGAAGATTATCCTTAGTTCACGAAAGGGTGAAATTTATTCTGCACATTCAGAATGAGAATTCATTTCGTAAATCGCCCCGTATACCTATCCTTGCCTAATACGATTCCGCGGCTTTGGTGGTCAGTCTCGTGCACCGGTCAGGGTCGTCATCACGACGACAAAGGCGTTCTCCAAGTCTCGCAGCACAGTTTAAAAACGCGATCCAGCGAGCGCGAAAACGTTTCTCGTCCTTTCACTTCCACAAACGAGACAGACACAGCGACCTAATCGCGCTTCGATGGCTCCAGTGGCGTAAATTATGCGAATCGTTCCCTCTTTCCCTCTAAACCCATTTAAACCACGCGCAATTATCGAGATCCGTATGATATTCGAATCCAATATTAAACATTTTATAGTTCGAATTTAGCCGGAAATAGGTATCTCAATATATATAGGAATTATATCAAAAATTGTAACCAATCTTCAAAAGACTTATTTTTAAGTCTTTTAAATATATATAGAATATATATATATATATATATTTAATTAAAATTAAAATTCCAAGTCTATAATTGTACACATATTCTTGATTTTATATTAAATTTATATTTTAATTAATATATAATAAGCTTTTTATTAATAACAAAATGAAATAGCTTTGATATACGCAAGTATAGAAATTCAGATGGAGAATAAACTAATAAAAGCCGAGCATAGAAAGGCATTTGGTCGAAAAAAAAGGATCAAAACGTTGAGTTAAATAAGGAAGATCTTGAGATAAATTGTTTGTTGCACTTGCTTTCTACGCTTGGTCCATTTTTTATCTCTAATGAAGCTCTTTATCGTTACGAGATATTGCTGGCTTACTTGAACTTTTTAAAAAAGATCTTGATATTATTAAAAAAAAAAAAAAACAATATGAGAAAGAAGAGAAAACTCGCGCGCACTTAACGATGAAGTACCAGAAAGCCGTAGATTAAAAGATCTCTCTAAATAATTATAGTCGGTTGTCACGTCTTCCTATCAAATACGCAGTGTTGTACTTAGATATAATTGTACAATTAGCTAGATAAAGATGAGATGAAAATATGTAAATTTATCTTATAGATAAGACGAAGATAATTTTGTTTTAAATATATCTAAATCAAAGATGAAATTATATGACAAATCATCTAGACAATTTCCAGATAATATTATTTTTAAGCCCGCTTACGTAAACAGTTATAAAAAAATGTAAATTTTAAAATTTTAATATAAAAATATATTCATACTTTTATTTATAAGCTTCTACCGCTACTAAGCTCTACTACTTACAATTAAATATTTTTATGTGCTATGACCCTAAGTCAAATTATCTGAACATTATTCTAGATAATTTAGTAAAGATATAACACTTTTTTCCATCTAAGATGCAGATATAGATAATACATATTTTTATCATTTATATAAAGATAAGATAATGTCAAAATTTTACCTAGATGATCATCTTTATAATTTTATTTAGATATTATAACAGCAAACACTGTAGATATACGTAGCTATACGATAAAAGACTCCCTTTCTATATACAGAGCGTGTGGCATTCTACGCCATTGACACAAGCACGAGCGCGGGAGAAGCGAGCAACGTACAACTGCGAGAGGATTTCTGGTGCAATGCACCTGTGAACTCGCAGGAGAGAGCATTGTGCAACAATTAGCGGTCGAGGCGGCCGGCCACCGCGCTTTGGCTTCGTTGTGCCTTTAGGAAGGAAGGGACGTCACGCGCCAGGACACTACGGAGATAAATAGATCGCAAACATACGCACGCGGTTTCAAAATGTCCTGCGTACAAAAATATCTTATCTCGAGAACACATGCCCCAGAATTTTAAACATCTTGTCTCCCTTATCTAATATTAATCATTTCGTTTTAAAAATAAATTGCAATAATTATTTATGATAAATAATTATATTTAATAATTGATATATTAAATATATATGTATATATATTTTAAAAATATAAAAATGTATTATTAATTAAACGCATATATATATATATATATATATATATATATATATATACAATCAAATTTTATTCGAAAAAATTTTGTTTTACTAAAATTATCTAAATACCTACTTTAATTTTTTTTATTTCACAAATCAATTTTTTCTATATTTTAATTTAATTAAATTTTTATTTTAATAAATAAAACTTTATTTTATTAATAATAAAACTTCTTTTTGTTATGTTTAATTAATATTTTGCACGTTGCTATATATCGTTAAAAATCGTTCATAAATTTGCTCACTTGTGCTTACTCCATTCCCGCTTTAAAGTATATTTATATTAGAAATATTTTCCTGCTTTCCGTTTTCTTTTTATTATGCATTTTCTTTAAACATTTATATGTATATATATATATTTTTGCGATTAACCGCAACATTCTTGTAAAAGTTAAAAATGCGCAAGCTAAATATAATTTCAAAAATCATGAAATTCAAAACGGAACTAACAGATCCGGAGGCGATTACTCCTCTTATCACGTTTTACGCGACATGAAATCGGCAAAGCGTACAAACAACGACAGTCTCCAAGAGAGATCCGACAGAGAATTGTTTCAGACACGCAGTCTCTTAATTTAGGAATGCGTAATTAAACCGTACGAGCAATTTAAACGCTTACTTAGAGAATAAAGCTGTCACTTTGAATATATTACACTAAATTAATAGCGAGTGAATGTGCAAAAGAAACATTTAATTCAAAACAATAATTAATTTTTGAATAACATAAAGTTTAAGAATATTTGAGTTGAATTCCAATTTACAATATCAATAAGATTTAGAAATATATTTTTTTGTAGAGTTTTCCGGATAAAAAAATACTTTTACTGCACTGAAAAAAAATTTGTTAACTCTCTTGACTAAACCTTTCACTAAATAATATTTTGTTAATTAAACATATAAAAATATTTAAATTAAATATGACATATTAAATCTAACAAAACGTATAATTGACTTAAATACTAATATATGTTCAATTAACAAAATAGTAATTTTGTTGAAATGTTTAGTCAACTTAACAAATTTCTATTCAAAATTGTTTGTGAAATGCTCTTTATTGGATTTAATGTTATTAATAAAATTAAATTAAATAAAATTATATAAATTGACTTAATTAAAACTTGGTTTCCTCAACGCTGTGTGTGGGATATTATATCAACATATTCTATGTTGTGCAATTTTGACAGATTAATTTTAAAGAGATCGGATAATTTTAAAAATTCGATAACGTAAACCGCAAAAGTGTTAAAATTTATTGTCGACGCAGCATAACAATTTTTATCTCCATGCGTGTAATTTTAATTAATTTTTTAGCTATTTATTACGTTAGAGAAATACTTTATTCCAAATATATACCTTTCGTATCTTGCGTAACACTTTGTAACGAATATTGCGTAATTCTTTAAAGAAAATCTATATTGAATAAATATGTATAATGCGCATACATATGTATATTGAAAAAGAGTATCATTAAATACATATTTAAAAATTAAGCTGACCAGTGCTCGACATTGAATGTAAATAATTAATTTTCTAATTTATAATCTTATTAAAAAAAAAATAATTTACGCATTAACGTAATTGTGCGCTAAATTCTCGCAAATTGAAAATCAGCAATTTTTTTTTATGCACAGCATTGTTACAAGGTAACGCATTATTCAACATTGCCGAGTATGTGTTATGTATGTACAACCTATGCATCAAACGTATATGTGTATATGTACGTGATGCTTCGTAATCGCTCACAATGAATACATGATAAAAAAAACTGACACGCAACAAAAATGCAACAGAATATCGTGTAATATAATGTATATGTAAGATATAAAATAGATAAAAAATATATATAAGTATATATAAGAGATAATTTAAATTATTAATAACTAAAAAATAATTTTTTTACGTTAAAAAATAAACGAATTTTTGTTATATATAATAAGCTTTGCTTTCAAGAAAATTTAATTTAAAAAATTGGAAAATTAAGAATACACTTTATTTTCTTCCAGTTTTCATATAATTTTCAATGTGTCACTCTATCATAGATCGATGAATTTGTGTCAACAATTATCGTCGTGTATCGAAGAATATGATTAAAAATACGATATTTAATTTAAGAAAACAAAAAAGTCTCGATATTTTACATAACTTTAATTATTTTATATCATTTCTTTAAAATAATATATGTGGCATGTTTCATTATTTATACTTATCGACAGCTATTTTGGAAAAATACTTAAAATACTAAACAATACAGTAATTAAAGTTATTTGCACGAAAATGTGACAAAAAGTATTAATTAATCAAGTTTAAAATGGATTGTTTTGAAATAAAAAATTTCACTAAACATTTTCAATTTAGTGTTATTTGTCATTCATAAAATTATCTTTCATTCCTCGAGTGTATCACTATATTAATCGATCATTCTGCATAATTAAAGTACACTTTTTTGGTTATGTGTACAAATATGTGTACACACAGGGTTACGATCCCACGTGTGCCTGCGCATACGCGAGATGTCAAAATGCGAAAGAGCGAGTTTTTATCTTGTTTCTCCTACCTGGTATTTCGTCCTGAGCCAGGCTGTAATCCACGAGACATGCGAAGAGGAATGCGGCACCAAACTGTATCAGTAGCGTCGCCGGGTTACCCATTTCTCCGAGTCGGCATAATTCTCTCGTTACGACGACAAGAGAGAAATCACGATGCAAGATCGCGTGAATTCATAACCGAGCACCGTTACACTTTTCGCGACACCACGATCAACCGGCACATCCACTCCGCGCGACGTTCGACAGCAGACTGCGCGAGACTGCGGCGCGTCACGCGTCGCGCGCTCGCCTTGTCGCGTCGGTAAGTTACCATGGTTATCGGCGTTGGCAGCGCCATCTTACCGTGAACACTCGAACTACGTAACAAGCGCGTATATGTATGCTACTCGTGCGTGAATAATGTGTGCGTGTAATGTGTGTGTGTGTGTGTGTGTGTGAGTGTATGTGTATACAAATATAGAATGAAATAATTAATTTACGTATTGACTATAAGAACGTATACATATAATATATAGTAGAAGATTGTAGACGTGTGTGTGCGTGTGTATTGCTATTTTTTAATTATAAATGTGATCGATGAGTTGGAAAACGAAGATAAAACGATAGGATATGCATACAAAACCTATCGAAAATTGCGGATGTGTCGATTTTGAAACTTGTGAAATTACACACACAAACATTTGACACTTGCACTTTTCATATAAAAAACACGCGAGTCGCGATAAAATTTCGATGCGCGCTTTTAAACGGTAAATACTTGCTAATAAATACTAAGAAATACTCGAGATATCACCACGATCGTACAACTCGGAATAATCTAAACCGGAAATATGGTTCCCCTCGAGAAAAAAACGGGTCAATTTTGAATTTTAGACGACCTCATACGGCGAAAACGCGAAATTCCACAAACGAATAAAGATAACCAACCGAAAAAATGAAAAATGAAAACATTGACATAGGGATTAATTGAGTTCGAGAATATCGATCTCTTAACAAACATCGATTATTTCGATCGATCGACCTAAATTTAAAAGTGTTGTCTAGGCAACGTCACGCTATAAACATGAAACTTTTTGTGCGTTTGTTGTGTATAAAATCAATGTAGATTAAAATATAGTGATGTATCAATATTTTATAAAATGTAAACTATTTTTAACATAGAAAATACAAGCGATTCGTGTTTGCGAAGTTAAACTTCTGTAAATCTATACTTTTGTTAACAGTTAGGTATAACCTTTCTGCTTCTTAATGCTAGTCTTACAAATAGTCTCTATTCACGTTATTTAACTTATAAAAGTGTGCGATACACCATGCCATTATTCTCCAATAAATTTTCTCCGAAAAAAACACCGACTAGGAAAGCATCGGTTTTCTTAGCAAACAAAAACTTAAGCCCTAAAAGAATAGAGAAAGAACTCGGTCCTGAAGTAGGTCCTATACGCCTTCGTCTTGGAGATCAGGAAGCTGTTTTCGAGGCTGGTTTATGGATTCCAGGTGAATAATAAATTTACCATTAATATTTTATCCCACGATAACTTCATGTTTTGATCCATGTTTTTTTGTATATAAAAATAGTTTAAAAATTTAAAAATAAACTTTGTTTTAGAATCTGGCAGAGTGGGAGGTACTTTTAAAGAGAACGAAAAATTAAAAAAAGAAGTGAGACGATTGGAGGAAGAGAATAACTTATTAAAACTAAAGTTTGATGTACTATTAGATATGGTAACTTTTTTTACAATACTTTTTAGAAAATTAAACTGTGACATGTCAAAAACAAAAATAATTTTTATATAACTATAGCAAAAAAATACTAATAACAGTATACAATAATAAATGATATTAATTATAATTGTTAATATGTAATGACAATGTAGATATTATTTTATAGCTAACACAAACAACCGCTGAGGCTCACTCGCAAAGAGAAGAATTGGAGAGATTAAAAAATAATTTTTCTCATAATAAGAGGGTTGTCGCTTAGTCTTAAGTATTGTTACTCTAACACTGAAGGAATAAACAACGACTACAAATATACATCATTTAATTTAAGTTCTCGCTTAAAAAGTCAAAAATAAATCAATTTAAAAGAACACAAATTTCAAGTCTTAGAGAAAGTCGTGTTTGACACTGCTTTGTCGTACTTGAACTTTTTACAATTTTAGTCGCATTATTAACTGTACATTATATGCACTGTACAATTGTACATTTACAATATTATTATATTGAAAAAATTCGCTTATTTTTCCGGACATCTGTTTTTTGTATGTCCTACGAAAAGATAAATTCATCATGTAAAAAAACATAATTATGATATAACAATAAATATAATTGAGAGATTATAATAAAAATATTACTATTTCTGAAAAGCTAATAGATTTGATAAAAAGATAATAAGTTATCTATATATACACTACCTTCTATTCCACAATTGCTGCACTTTCTCTTGGTGCCAGCAAGTCTAGGCCTTTTAGGAGCACTACCCCTTTCAGGGGCTCTGTTACGAGTTTGATTTGATTCCCTATTTACATTGAAATTGTTCCAATCTGTATTTCCACGATTGTCGATATCGTTCTCGTCTGCCCACTTGAAAAACTTACAAGTGGAGTTCATACCTTTTGGACACCCGTAAAATTGTCGTCCCTTATTGGGGCCGTCTTTTTGAACCGTTAGTCTAAATAATATGCGAAAATTAATATCTTTAGCAGATCTCAACTTGTTAAATACATTTTATTAATTATGGATATCAATTAAATCTATTGATACAATTTTTGCAGTCAGGAAGTTTACTTACTTTCGAGCAGGTTGATTACACTGACACATAATCGTGTCGTTCATCGATGAACTTCCCCAATCATCGTTCGAGGTAACGCGAGAAGCATGACCAGCATTAACATCATTTCTATTTAGATTAGATGCTCGACTCGAATGTTCATTCTCTGCGTTATCTCGTGATTCGGCGCTGTCGGATGCCCACAAGAAAAAATTGCAGCCGCTACCTTGCGGTTTACCGCATTTGTAAAACAAACGTCCTAGAATTATAAGAATTATTCATTATTTAAATTTATTTATACGACAAAGACATATAGTTTTATAGAGACCACCACTTACCTTTATTTGGTCCCTCTTTTCTTACTGTTAACTGAATTGCTATCTCGTGACAGTTGCACATAATCTCTGCATCATTATCAATATTACCCCATACACTAGTTTTATTGCCTACATTGCGAGGCTTTCTAGGTGCAGACTGATCCGATAAATTATTAGTATTAATCCACGAAGTAGTACTTTCTCTATTATTTGATACTGTTGTACTTTCACGAACGGTATTCGACCTATTTGGTCGAGGGACGCTAAAGTTATGACTTTGTGCATGTCCTCCAGATGTGCCAAAACTTGCAATTGAGTTCATAGTGTTACTTTGACCAGATCTTATATTATTAGAAACCGATTGTTGTCGTTGAGATGTATGTGATTGGGATGTACTTGAAGTAGAAGTAAAACTCGATGTATTTCTCCTATCATTATTAATAGTATTTGCTCTTTCAGTTTGCCTAATACAATCCTGCTTTATGTTTAATATTTCATTAAATGCGGTATCACAGCCTATACAAGTTGTATGCGAAGTACCATACAAAGGTATCACATTCCTAACTAATTGGAATTTCAATTTGTGAATATTTTCCGTGCACTGAAAATATAAATCGTATATTATTAATTTATTTGTAAATTGTACATACGTGCGAGATACCAGAAATCAATTATTTATTTACCTGATTGCATGTTTCATTCAAAATCTCTATGTCTTTTACAGATTCTGGGAACCAGATGACATTAACACATGTTGGATATCCCATGCAACTAATATATTTTCCTTTGCCTTGCTTTCTTTCTTTCAAAACCATATCAGAGCCACATTTTGGACATTTGAAAATAGTGATGTTTGCGACCGAAGAAAACTGTACTTGCTCGGTTTCAGTAGGTCTCTCATCAAGATGTTGTGCTAAAGCTTCATCTATCAGATTAGCGCGTTCCATTGCCACTTTGAACACTTCGCGATAAGTGTCGATTTGATTTCGTAACACTTCATCCGGATCTTTCTGACGCTGGCATATCCTATGATAATAATTATGTATAAAGTAAATTTTGTATATATGTATGTATATCTTGAAGAATAAAGAGAGAAGAAAAAGAGTATTGTCTAATTAGATACATATATAAGATTGTTAATCGCCTTACAATTTTAAATCTTTTTCCAGATCCGCACGTAAATGCGGTTTAGACATTTGGAATCCCATATTGTCGTATCCCATGACCAAACCAATTCCCAACTTGCCCGGCATGAAATGTTGAGTATCTGTTAAACCTACATATTGTCTGGATTTAATAGTGTCGATGTGTTCGGCGTGAGTAGCATCTGTACCAATGCCGTGTTTGTCCATTAGCGCGATCAATTCTGCTTCAGTCAGCAAACTCGGCGGTGAAGTTTTCTCTTCCACCATGTCTATGCTGGTCGGTCTAAAAACTTGCCTCTGCTCATAAGAATGAATCTGCTTATTGTTCCATTTATCGTATATATACACATCAAGATAATTCCTTGCTATGATTTCGAGACCGTTAGCTATAAATTTCTCTTTTGCTATATCAATTTCCACCGTGGTTTCACGACCTTCCGCATTCTTTGACAGACAAGCTAGAAAATGTCGAACTACAAATTCGTAAACTCTTGCTTCGTTTCCTGTTAATAAATTATTACAATTATTATAATTAATAATGTAATTGATTTAATATTGAATAGAAAAACAAATATTTTGTGCAAAATGAACCTTGCAAACTGTCAGTATATTTTGTGGGATGAATAGGAGGATGCGCTTGATCAGACTTCTTTCCTTGCCTGGGAGTTATTCCAGATTCCAGTAAACCTCGTGCAAAGTCACCCCATACTTGATGATTTACTTGTTGTTCTACCAATGGTGCTAAATTCAATTCTTTTGGAAATATATTAGTTTCAGTGCGCGGGTAACTAATGAGACCTTGGGTGTACAATCTTTCTGCTATTCTCATTGTCTCCTTCGCGTTTAAGCGCAATTTACGGGAACCTTGCTTTTCTAGTTCCTGTAAATTAATTCGTTTTTTAAAATTAAAATAACAACTTTCTTCCCAATAATTCAATTACTTACAATAGTATCCAGGGGTAGAGGTCTCCATTTGCTTTTTGGTTTGCATGTTACTTTTTCCACTGTAGCATCCGGCCGTTCCAAACACATATCTAAAAATATCTGGCAAGGCATCTTTTCGAACAATCTTACTCTGGCCCATCTGAATTCTACCAATATTCCATCGCGATCGTCTGTTACTTTTAATTTCCAATATGGCTCAGACTTGAATTGATCAATAGCTAGAAATCTTTCGACTACAAATCCAAGAGTCGGAAACTGACAACTTCCATAACTGATAAGCATATCTCTGAGAGTATTAGGAAATACTCTTTGTAATCTTAAGGTCTGAAATCTCGTGAACGCAGCACCTATTAACATATATATTAAAAAATTCAAATATAGATTACAATTCACATTATGCATCCAATTAATCTTGGTTAACAGAATCAGTACCAATTCTTAAATCTAATTCGCTTCTTACGTCTACAGCATCGCTCGTTGCCTTATCTGGTTCTCCTAAAGTAGTTAGAGCTCTTTCGATAGACTGTCTTGTAATTTCAGAGAATTTTGCCCTGAAATGTAATAAGCTTGTAATAACAATTATCATAAATATATAAAAAAATATGTTCCTAATTACCTGTATATACGAATATTTGATTTGATTGCTTGACAAACTTGTATAATCTCAAAACCTATATTTTCTCCTTCTCTATCACAATCTGTCCAAATAATCAATGCATTACATGACTGTATTTCTCGCTCCAGAGTTCTCTTAATCTTTATATAATTTTCTTCCGAACACTGTTTGGATACTGGAGCATCAAATAAGCTTAGTGGATGACAGCCCTGCCATTTACGATACGCTCCTGTAAACTCGTAGCCTAATAAATGGCCAGATACAGATGTCATCACCATTTGACAATTTTGGCCCCATAATTGTATATTAAATTCAAAGATTTTGTTATAAACAGAAAAGCCTTCCCTCTACAAAAGAACAGAAACGTTAATTAGTTAATTTCTCATACATTTGTGAATAAAATGTAATTAAACAATTAATGGAAAATGATGTACAGTATAGTTAGAAATTATATAATTGAGAATATACTGTGTAATGCAAATATTTACCTTCTTACTTGTGCCACGTGACAAATAAGCAGCAATATTTTTAGCAGCATCGTGCTTTTCAGCAACATTAAGAACTTTCATGTTACACTTTGAACAGTATCGGCTTATCGAATAAGCATTTGGAAATTTGAACAAGTAGTCAGTTGTGCTTTTAAGTGTCTGATTAGACAATATTGAACAATTTAATACGATACTACGCAATTTAAGTAAAGCCATACCATAACTTTCGACATTGTCGATAATTTTCAGTCGACAAGTAAACTAGTTAATGTTCAATAATTTGGAACACGTATATAAACAACATCAGTAACCAATTTTCTTAATTAATTATGACATCGGAATAAATATATATCATCCGAAGAAAATAAATGTTTATTTCGTTATTTTATCACGCTTTTGTTTATACTTGAATCGCTTATTCTTCTCGATGACAGATTAGAAATAAATTCGAAATAAATTCACCTCCAAAATTAGTTTATTTTTCTAGAAAATATTTGGTAATAATTTACTGCTTGAGGAATTACACTAGATGTCAACAGGTGATTCAATGAATCGAAAGACGCATTCTGATTGGCTCATCTAGTATTATAATATAGTAACAAAATACGCCGCACTTCAGGTGCTTTTTAGGGACTTTTGCATTTTGTAAGTTTCGGGACGTGTCAAACACGATCTAGAAAGAACTGGAAGTAGCAGTAGACATTTTTCGATATTTTGCATAATAATTTTTAGATTTGATGTGTTTTTATTCGAGTACACGTAAGTATAGAGAGTATCGCGTTGCGTTATTATTAGAAGAGATTTTTCGCGTCTACCGGATAATGCGACTTCTATTTTGTGGATCGTATTTTTTTTTATCCACGCAACATGACCCAACAGTTTACGAAACACAGCTTTGTAATATCGGATATGGTTTATAATTGCTAATGGCGTAATTACGCTCGGTGATTGTACGTATTATTTCCTGCGTGCGTGAATATTTTGTTGTGTCACTCAACAACTGTTATGTCATATCGTTTAAGCTTATCATCCCTTCTTGTCTTAAAATCACAGACGTAAATACGCAATTGTGCCATTACTTAACACTTCACACATTATTTTAAAGATATATATTACACTATTATGTTACATGCACCTGTTTCACAATATTTTTTCAAGTGACTTTAATTTTCATTGAAAAATATGCTTCTGTAAATCTTGTTTTATTAATAAGTAGTGTTAACATTATGTCTCATTTTACATAAACCTCTTCTAAAATAGAATATTATACACACTTGATTGTATATTTTTATATTATTACACTCATTTAATCATTTTCATAGCAAAGTATACGAATTTATGTCTTATGTTCTATTTTCAGCGTTGAAGGGCCACTTCTGACTTCCTATTTGTGATACGTGTTTTTCTTTCAATACCAAACATGACGGAGGACATGTTGGGTGCGGATATTTGCAGGGTCTGTCGATCCGAAGGCCTTGCAGATAGACCTCTATTTCATCCTTGTATCTGCACGGGTAGTATTAAATGGATACATCAAGAGTGTCTGGTTCAATGGATGCGTTACTCTCGTAAAGAATACTGTGAACTCTGTGGCTACCGTTTTTCATTTACACCTATATATAGTCCAGATATGCCGCGCCGTCTACCACTAAGAGACGTCATAGGTGGTTTATTTTCAAGTATCGTCACCGCCGTCAAGTACTGGCTACATTACACATTAGTAGCATTTGCGTGGTTAGGAATTGTTCCTATAACTGCGTGTCGCACATATAGAACTCTTTTCAGCGGTCCGCTTGATTTAGTTCGAGTGAGTAACAAATATGTATAAATTGATATCTTGATATTTTTAATAAAGGAGAGTTAATAAAATTTATAAATTATTAACGATTTTGTTTTTGCAGATAATGTCGTTACCAATGGATCTGTTCTCCCTTGAAAATCTATCATCGGATGTATTTCATGGTTGTTTTGTAGTTACTTGCACCTTATTTGCGTTTATCGGCTTAGTATGGTTACGCGAACAGATTTACACGCGGGGGGTCCTGACTGGCTTGAGAGAGATAATATGCAGTTACCCCCAGTTGACAATCCACCTCAAGCTAACGCACAACAGCCACAGCAACCTCAAGAACAACGTGCTATGCCACAAGAAGTTCAGAACAACAATAATGTCCCTCCTTTTGTTGATCCACCTATTCCCCAAGAGGGAGACTTGCATAATGAAGGTATTATAATCATGAATTTTCGTATGTTTGACAAAAATATATAGCAGTATGTGATAAACTTAATTGTATTTATCTCTACAACATTGTTCAGTGATACTTTTTACTTAAATTGAATCGCTTATAGATCAGCGCCCTGCGTATCAAGAAGTAGCAGAAAACTTGGCTAATAATCCACGAATTGGCGAACCTGAGGATCTTATGAGAGATGTACAAGCGCCAATTCCTCCTGCACCACCTCTTCCAATCAGAGATGAACTTGGCGCGGACGGCGCACAGATGAATGCTGCAGGTGGGGAACGTTGGGCGAGAGGAAATGCCATACAAGCACATATGGTGGGACAAGCACAGGGTGAAGCCGAAGAAGCCAATTGGAATCCTATGGAGTGGGATAGACCTGCCGAAGAATTAACATGGGAACGTCTCTTAGGATTGGATGGATCTCTCGTCTTTCTCGAACATGTCTTCTGGGTTATATCCCTAAATACTTTATTTATCATGGTAAGTTATTTATTTCATAAAACTAGTTATTTATTTCACAAAATTTCTTCTCTTATTTACTTATTTTTTTTTACAGGTATTTGCTTTCTGTCCCTATCATATCGGTCATTCTACAATAGCAGAATTAGGATTGCAGGAACACGCGGCGGCGTCACACTTCGAAGGTTTGGTGACAACGTTGTGTGGTTACTGCGTTATCGGAGTTTGTCTAGTGGTCCTCCATACTTGTGCCGCTTTATTAGGTTTTCAGCGTTCCCAGCGAATCTTAGGGCTTTGCTACGTTATCGTTAAAGTCTCTTTGCTCTCCGTCGTGGAAATCGGCATACTTCCATTAGTTTGCGGCTGGTGGCTGGACATTTGTTCGTTGGCAATGTTCGATGCCACGCTTCGAGATCGAGAATCCTCGTTCAGACTCGCTCCCGGCACATCTATGTTTATACATTGGCTGGTGGGAATGGTCTACATATATTATTTCGCGTCGTTCATTCTTCTCTTGCGCGAAGTTTTGCGACCCGGCGTTCTCTGGTTCTTGCGAAATCTGAACGATCCTGATTTTTCTCCTATACAAGAGATGATACATCTTCCCATACTGCGACACGTACGACGACTAGTGGCATCCGCGATCATATTCGGCACGGCAATTTTGCTCATGTTGTGGCTACCCGTGAAAATTCTGCGATGGGCTTGGCCAGGATTTTTACCCTACACTGTGACCGTACAAAGCGAAGCTCAGGTAAGAAAGTACAGTATTATTTTATACTTTGTACTTGTTATATAACGGTTGCATTCTTATATAGAACATATGTGTAAGTTGAATGTTTATATACGTAGTTTTTTAAATTTATAGGTCAGCGAACTTTCTTTGGAACTACTTCTATTACAAGTGATCCTTCCCGCATTATTGGAACAATCGCATACGCGCACATGGCTAAAGGCTCTAGTGAGAGCGTGGTGTCGCGTAGTGGCGTGGATGCTGGATCTGCAGTCGTACTTGTTGCGTGATCAGACGGATGATCCGGGATTGGCGGTTATCGAAGAACCGCAACATCCAGATTTGGGCGCCGCGCATCAAGCGTTATTACAGCGAGAGGGACCTACGGGATTTCAACCTTACACCAGGCCACGGTGGTTCCCCGCGCGATTGGTCGGACTTTTGCTCTGCGGTTGCGTGTCCCTTGTGTCGCCAGCTTAGTCGCCATGACGTTACCCGTATGGCTTGGACGTAGAGTCATGGCATTGTGGATGGTAGGGGCACCTGCTCCGTCGCCGCCTGTGTTAGTGCCTACGGTAACTGGCTCTGGTAAGTCATTCACAAATTGTTCAATTTCTGATATTGTCCCATTTTATCTCAGTAATTTTGTATAACAAATATATGAAGAAAATATTGCTAAAATGTATTTTTTCGGATTTTTATTATTACTTTATTTTGCTTTTAGATGGCGGTGAAACTGTAGGCACTCTCTCCGGAAGAGTACACGAAGTATATACGGTAGCGTGTGGAACGTACGTGTGTTGGGCTGCGGCGCGAGGTTTAGCGCTGGCATTCTCCTGGTTGCCTCGCGGTCGCAGAGCCATCATAGACCGAATTAAACATTGGGCAATTTTGGGGATGAAGGCTTCGGTGGCATTTGTACTGCTTGTCGGTGTCATACCGCTTTTATTCGGTCTTCTTCTCGAGTTGGTGGTGGTGGTTCCGTTGCGCGTTCCATTGGAGCAAAATCCAATTTTGTTCATCTGGCAAGATTGGGCCTTGGGTGTACTGTACACGAAGATAGCTACTGCCGTGACGATGATGGGACCCGATTGGCGAATACGTCTCGCTATCGAGCGAGCGTACAACGACGGTATAAGGGAAATGGACCTGAAGTTTATCATCAAGGAACTAGCAGCTCCCGTTATATGCTGCTTTGGCCTTGCCCTCGCAGTCCCTTATGCCGTGGCCTATGGAATAGTTCCGCTTCTCGTGACCAATCTACAGACCCAGATCCTCATTGCCAGACGTTTATATCCTTTTCTTCTTTTAGTGAATCTGATCTGCGTAGTGATCTATTTTCAGATACGCCAATTCAAGAAGCTGTACGAGCACATTAAGAACGACAAGTATCTCGTAGGGCAAAGGCTCGTGAACTACGAACATCGTAACAAATCGCAGCAACATCAGTCACAAAGATCGAGTTAACAACATCGGTAATATTATACGGAGAAAACAAATTATGGTGGAAGACGAATTGTAGGATTAGCTTCGTGTACATTCTTTAACAACTATTACTTATTGATTAATAATTTATATATTATAATCATGATTTTATTTTTAATATTATAATTTATTGATGTAAAGCGATGCTGAATAAATCAAAAAGACTGTTAAAGTGTATCGCTCCTTATTTTGATGCTTCGCAGTTTTTAATCGTGCAAATTTCAATTATCTTACATGCTAATTTCTATTATCTTGATTAATAAATAATGAGCTATTTTGATCGCATTATTTATGATAAGAACAACTTATGGTTAGAATTAAAATAAATGTGTGTTGAGAAGACACAACACACTAATTTATTCTTTATTATTACATAGTTTTAAAATTCTGATGTAGTAGCATGTCTATTCTGTAATTTGCAATAATATAATTGTTATATCATTAACACGTGTTATTAACATAGATAACATGTAAGCAGCATAAAGTATACAATAACGATTGCAAAGTTTGGAAATTACAGAATAAGCATACAATATAAAACAATGCTACAAAAATGTAAATGTACAGAATATAATATCTTAAGATGTTTTTGGAGCTTGGATTAACAAAAAAAATGTATGAAAGTATATTGTAGCCATTGTTATGTAAAATAGTAATGTAGGATATATAATGTTTCAATCTTATGTTGCATGTGAAATTTATATTTGTGTATCTATGAGACTAACAATATGAAAATAGGAAAACATTTTTTTTATATTGTACATTTTATTGAATCAAAAATATTTTGTTTACAAACTTAAATATTTATGTAAAAATTAAAGTTTTGTATATATGAGTTACAATACTTTTTATATTGTTATTTGTGAAAATTATTTGTAGTATTTATGTGTTAATTGCATGTAAATACTCTATAATACGGTATGTACAATATGTCATATTTACAATAAACTAATATTTTATAACAAATTAATGTACATATAATCTAACATTTCATTAATTTACAAGAGGATTAGAATAAAATACTAATATATTTTATATAAATTACATAAGCTTTTTAATTCGCATATTTTCTGTAATAAAAAATCGTGAAATTTACTAAAAATATATCGCACTTATTAGTTATTCAATAATAAGCTTGTGTTATGTTTTATTATTACAATATAAAACATCAAATATATATGTATAAAACTACAAAAATATAATATTTTGATTTTATTGGAAGGATCACATCATAAAAGTTAAAAATAATATTTTACTTAAAATTTTATAATTATCGTGAGTAAGTGCATATATATTTTTTATCTTTAAAATGTCTACCAAGAATTTATAATTATTTTTCAATAATAATTTTTTTATATCACATTTAATAAATTAAATTGTATTATGTATATATATGTATAATTAATTTAATATTTGTTGTTGAAAAATATATATATATATATGTATGTAAATGTATGCATATATATGTATATATATATATGTATGTATATATATATATATATATATACACATATATGTTATATATATATATATATATATATATATATACACATATATGTTATATATATATAAAATTATATTATTGACAAATTTAATAACAAAAACAAAATATGCAAAATAATTTTCAATGAAAATATTTTACATTATAATATTAATAATAATAATAAAAATTTTGAAATATGTAAAAAATATGTAAAGATTGCTTGTTTTTAATAGATGATCTAAAATAGATCTTTATTTGGCGATTTTTAATGTTTGTAATGTAATGACAATCACGAATTATATATTTTGTGTTTAATATAGTTATTTATATTTACTATATACATATAATAGTATTTATACTCCGTGCTTTCTATATTCTGAATAATTATATGTACATATAATCTGTGATCCTCCAAATTCGTCAATTTATTTCTGATACATTTCACTTTATGTATGTATTATTAGAAAATTCATCACTGCATAATTCTGTCATGATTTAAATATTATGTAATCACTAATTGTAAAATCAATTATATAAAAATATAAATCGTCTATTACTGTAGCGGTGGTAAAAGGGTTGCTTTTAAGCGCAATTCTTCTGCAATCTTTGCTACACGTATATGTACCAAACTAAATAAATTGATCACCTAAATATTAAATAATATATTAATAATTACATTAATTGCATATTTTGAATTAAATATATATAGCTATATAAATATTGTATAGCTGTACCTGTACAATAGAAGGTTCTTTCCAATTAATAGTTATAGTGGGTACATGATTCGTAATATGATCCGCTAAATACTCTACAGCAGCATCATGTTCTATTTCTTTAAGATCTACTTTTAATTTTATGCCAATATCACAGAGTATAACTTCTATTCCGTCTTCCTTCACATATAATACAGTAGCTGAAGCTTCAAAACCGTCCGCAAGACCTACCATATATGAAAAGAATAATTCTGTACTTTGTTCCTGTGCTAGTTTTGCACTATACTTCTTCACATTGCAATTAGCTGCAAGCCTGTTGCAAATTAAAAGTAAAACTTATTAAAGTAATATATGTGCAATTTTTCATTGCTGTTATATTGTATTATTAACATACTTTGAACACAACTTGGCTGTCCATTTCTCTGATAAAGATTTATTTTCTATAGCTGCATAGAGCAAACGATGAACTATACAATCGGAATATCTACGAATAGGAGAGGTAAAGTGCGTGTAAAGCGGCACATTTAATGCATAATGTTTCAAATCTTGTAACAGAGAAGTTGTGGATGTGCATATGTATTCTGCCCGCTAAAATATTTTAGAATTATTAGAAATTACATACTTTTTCTTACTGTTTGTATAAAAAAAATTATAAGCTAAGTACATAGATAATATAAAAAAAAATATGTAAATATAAAAATTCTTACCATCATAGTTTTGGAACATAGATTTATGATAGCCATCATAATGTATTTCATAGAAGTGTTAACTGTGGTTGCATTATTATCTGCATCTTGATAATGACGAATGCTGGCCTGTAAGCTTTTAGCTGTTTCGCTATTTAAATGAATTCCAAATTTTTTTAATGTATCACAAAGCATATTAAGACAGTATTTCGATGGATCTCTATGAATACGTAACAAAGCTGTTTTAGGAAATGCAGTATACAATTTTGTAGCAACTGTCATGTTTGCTAACAACATAAACTCTTCTATAAGACTGAAACAATATACATATTCAAATATATTATAATTAAAAAACGAGACATTTTCTTTTTGCACATATGATGCGATATATGGTGAATATAACTTAAAAAGTTGATGGAAACATATATATATAATATGAGTAAAAATCATACCTATTACTATCTTTCCTTTCCTCTAGACAATAATTTATAGGTATTGGAATTCCACATTCTTGACTGAGTGTAGTATCTAGACATATTTGTAACTTTGGTTGATCTAATCTGAGTGCACCATTAGCAAATCGTTTATTTCGCAAATGAATGGATAATTTAAATAAATTATTCACTTTATTGGATAATGATGTCACTGTATGATTTCCTTCCATGTTAGCAAAATTTTTAAATTCAGTCTTTCCTGGATTTTCAATCATGGCTTGAGCCATGTCATAAGACATTTGACAACATGACCTTATTACAGTTTTTGCAAAACGATATTTCACGATTTCTGCATCTGATGTCATTTCCCAGATTATGGAAAAAGCTAATCTATCTTTAGTGGCTGATAAAGAACAAATGTGACAGAGCTTTTCAGGTAGCATGTGGTAAGCAGTGTGTGGCATATAAATGGTGGTAGCTCGTTTAGAAACTTCCACATCTAGCGGGGACAAAAATTTTAGATAGTGTGTAACATCTGATATATGGACTCCAACCTGAAATTAACAAATATATATAAATATTTCACGCATGAAAGTGATAGCTTATCAATTAATGCCTTTTATATGTTATGTAAATCTAATATACTGCAATTACTTCATAGTTTCCATTATCCAAAATTTTACAAGAAATGGCATCATCTATATCAACAGCTGTTGCAGGATCTATTGTAAAAATACATTCATGCCTCCAATCCTCCCTGTCTTTCATATCAGCATCTGTTAAAATATCACTATCTGGAAGTCCTTCCAATAGCTCTTTTCGATATGGTGATATATCTAAATTGTTTTCAAATAATATTGCCTGTAACTCTGTATCTATTTCACCACTTCTACCGACTATCGAAATAATTCGCCTGCACATATAATATATATTATATAAATATATGTATAAAAGAATATATATATATATATATATATATATATATTTACAAATATATTAACATAGTTACAAGTATATATAAATAATCAAGTGTTAATATAAATGTTTACATGCAATAAAATAACAAGCCTTTAAAATTACAATATACTTTATATGCTTAAATTAATGCACTTACCCAGATGCATGAAATTCTTCCCAGGAATCAATATTAATAAGAAACATCACATTCTTATAAAGATCAGGTTGATCATAAAATGAACACGGTATTGATTCAGGAACTACTAATGGTATTCTTCGATCTTTTGGATAAAACAGTACATGGGAATCTTGTTTCCTTAAGTATCCAATTGCTTTTCTTGAATGTATTTTTTCTAATATACAAACAACTCTACCAGTTTTTTGTATTTCTCCATTAGGAAATTTATGCCAATACTTTTCAGAATTTAGTTGTGCTACAACTAAATCTCCATCAAAAGCACGATTTCTATTACGTGAACCCACAATTAACAAATCGCGCTCTCCATCATTTTCCATGCGTAAGTAAGCATACTTATAAGAACTAGGATTTACACGAATATTTCCTTTTATATATTGTACATTGTGTGAAGACTGTTTTTTCAAAATTTTCGTCATTTTTGTTACAGGTATATAATTTGAAAATAGTTGCTTTGTTTGCGTCGTTTCTTGTGCATTTTTTACTTTTTTTATAGCACCATTTTTTCTATTTTCCTTGCCTTTATGATGATGTTCTTCCAATACATTATTTGTACTTGATTTATTGTTGCTACATGTTGTTGCTTTATTTGTTTCTCTCTTATTTTTCTCCAACTATTCTTTGTCAATATATCAGGCATATCGACCTAGTACAAAAGTATACATTCTCATAATTAAAGTTTTAAGGTCTATACATTCTTATAATTAAAGTTATTATAGAATACAAAAAGAAAGAGGAAAGGAATAATAAACTGTTATGTATTATATAAAATATTGGCATAAGAATGATAAAACATCAGTAGCGAAAAAAATATGAAAAGATTTGCTGTACTCATAACCAACCTGATTTGTAACTAAACTCTTAATTTTACATTTGTTGTTAGGAGACATTATCAAAGTATTGTCATCTTTTTTTTCCATAAATATATTTTTACGCTGCCTAGTACTAGGATAATTTTTCACTTTTGTTTTTGATTCAGGACTCAAAGAGATCTGTGATATATCTCCATTTTGTGTAATATCTTCCACATTATTTTGTACAGCTTCCGAGGAATTGGATGCGGCTTGTATCTCATTTTCACTTACTAAAATCTTATTATATCTTCTATCTTTCTGTCTCACCGATTGAAGTCTAGAAGAGATCTTAAATTTATCCGCAAACTGTGCAGTAATTTCTACTAATTCGTTATTTTGGATAACAAATGTTTCGTCTATCAAGAAATCTAACACAACTTTTGGTGCACCGTTTTTTCGTTTATTTTTGCACAAACCAATACTATGATATTTCTTACGAGGCAAAAGTTGTTTCTTCATTTTGTCGACTTTTGACGATAAGCCTCTAGCCATGATGACGTGACCGATCAACTGATAGCAATGATATAAAGATTACAGCTGTATTTAAATAAAATTAAAAGAAATATTAAAATTCACAGATGTAAAATTCACAGATATAAGGTTAGCAAAAGTGAAATCCTTGTGAAATCAAACGTAAATCTTCCCGGAAAAAGCAAATGGTGGCAAATATATATACCTGTCACCAGTTATTTCCCGCATTTGATTACATTGAGGAAAAAATAAATTCATATATATAAAGTATATGTAAAAAATTGACCGCGAAAATTTTGGTTAGGTCAGGAAAAGACATCATCTTGGTTATTCCCATGTAAATTAAATAACTATCGCAATTGCGCGACAAAATGTCTGTTCGTTTTTCTGACATTTTCTTTTTTTTTCGAAACATTCGATCGGTCGGTCAAAACAAAATAATTTTTTGAAAAACAATCTTGCAAAAAGTTTCCTATTTGAAAAAAAGCATGTGACGCTTTAATTGTTGCCGTTTTCCGCGATTCCGATTGGTTCTTTCAATGCGCTTAGTTCATGTCTGGAGCAGCTGTCATCTGTGTTAATTTGCGGTTGTTTGTAAATTGACAGTTCACATGAAAGGAAGTCTAAAAATTATTTAAGATTTAATTTATTTTTTATTTATTTAAGATTATTTTTTTATTTAACATTTATTTAAGATTTAATTTATTTAAGATTATTTTTTTATTTAACATTTATTTAAGATTTAATTTATTTAAGATTATTTTTTTATTTAACATTTATTTAAGATTTAATTTATTTAAGAAGTTTAAAAATCAGTTGCACAAGAATTCTCGCGATATATGTATGTGTAATAAAAAATTAAAATAATATTAAAGGCGCGCTTGTGTTACTAACATAAGGTTTCTCTCTGCTAGTAGTCGTAAAAAAGAACAAACCTGTGGGCTGTTGAATATTTACAAGTCGAACGATTTGAGGTTATCTGTATTCGCAAGCGAGTTTGCAATGTTTAAATAACGATGAAAGTGGTCGAGGCATTATATAAATAAAATAATCGTGGAATTACGGCGCGTTTTTTTTAATTGCATCGAAAGATCAAAAAAATGGCCGAGATAGATATTTTTGACAGCAACGAGGAGCAATTGCCTCAGAATCTTGGCGACGATGTCGTTCAAGAAGTTTTGAAGACCGGCACCGATCTACGTCAATATTCCAGACAAATCGAAAAGGAACTCAAGGAAGTCGAGAACAAGTCGATCCAGGATTATATCAAGGAGAGCCAGAACATAGCTAGTCTGCATAATCAGATTGCTGCTTGCGACAATATCTTGGAGGTTATACTCGTTCTTTGACATTTTACGGACATTTAATTTTAGTAAAAAAAATATTAATAAAATAGAATATTAATAAAAGAATATTATAATAAAAGAAAAAAATATTAATAAAATAAAATAGTAAAAAAATTAAGCATTTACTCTCCTTGTGAATAAACACTAGAATTTATCTGCAATTTATTTAATATCCCTAATAGCACAGCACAACATCTGAAAAATATTCAGAGGATATCCAGAGGACATTCGAACATCCTCAGGATGTTCTCTGAACGTCTTCGGGATATATGTGCTGTTGGGGATAAAAATATTAAAATAAAAAATAATTAAGAAATTGAATTTAAAAAATTAAGGAAGAATAATATAATAGGAAACAAAAAAAATTTAATCATGCCCCTTCCTAGAAAAATTCCTGCAGATGCCCAAATGTCTTAATTAGTTTATCTTTGTGTAGATTGATATTGTTGATACGAGAAAAGCTTTCTCAAGACAAACTTTTGTAAACATACTATTTTGTTTAATTGCAGAAAATGGAATCAATGTTGATGAACTTTCAGTCAGATTTAGGAAGTATCAGCTCTGAAATACTTTATTTACAGCGTAAATCTGTTGCTATGAGCCAGCAATTATCTAATAGACAAGTGATACGTGGCCCGCTTAGTCAATTTATCGAGGATATGACAGTATCTGAAGCTCTGATCGCGTAAGAAATATTTATCAACATAATTCATAAGAGAAAATATTATATACAGATAAACTTGATTGATATGTATCGTGGTCTTTGTAGAGGTATCATGGATTGTCCTGTGACTGAGAAGGAATTTCTAATTCAGCTACAAACCCTAAATCATAAAATTAATTTTGTAAAAGAGCAAAGTTTTAAAGATGCAAAGTCTTGTCTAGATGTGACAGATATTCTAGAGAAACTAAAGCTGAAGGCAATGGCAAAGATTAGGACGTATTTACTAGAGCAAATTTATAAATTTAGGAAGCCGATGACAAATTATCAGGTGCCACAGAACAACATGCTAAAATATAAATTTTTCTTCGAGTTTGTTCTGGCGAATGAAAGAAATGTGGCAGAGGAAATCTGTGGAGAATATATTGATACTATGAGTAAGATATATTATTCATATTTCAAGTCTTACTCCTCAAGGTTGATGAAATTACAGGTAAATTAAATGAAAAAATTCATATTGTTTTGTGAGAAAGACCTAACATTAACTAATTAATATAATTATTTTTGCAAGTTTGAAGAAAGAGCATCAAAGGATGATTTAATGGGAATCGAAGATACAGCAAGTAGAGGTATATTTCATAAAACAACATTAAAGCACAAAGGGACTGTTTTTCAATAGATAAAAGAGGTGAAGTTTTGTCCTCTCAATTGGAAGCACCTATAATTGTACCACACATTGCCTCCAAGACACGAGTAAATACTAATGATATGATATATGATTACATTTATTTATATCCTTAAATATCTTGATAAATCGGTTTTATAATTTTAGTATCATTATGAAGCACTATTTCGAAGCGAACAATACGCTTTGGTTGATAATGCTTGCCGAGAATATCTATTTCTAATTGAGTTTTTCAAGGCCCGTAATACACAAGCATTAGATATTTTTAATCAAGTAAGATTAAGTTAATCACGTATATATATAATGATTTATTGTTTAAGATAAAAATGACACTATTAAACTATTTCATGCCTTTAGGTCATGGGAAAAACATTAGGCCTCATGATGAAAAATTTGCAGTCATTTGTTGATGATTGTTATGATACAATTGCTCTATTCCTTTGCTTACATTTGGTAATGCGTTATCAATTAATGTGTCACAAAAGAGCTGTACCAGCATTGGATAAATATTGGGAGACTCTAACAAACATAATTTGGCCTAGGTACTTAAACATGCTTATGTACAAAAATACTAATTATAGTAATTTTTCTTAAGTGCTATTACAATTTGCAAAATTATATCTATTTTTCAGATTTGAAATGGTGTTTCACTTAAATATACAGAGCATAAAAGATTGTGATCCATTAAAATTGAACAAAGAAACTGGTCCACATTATGTAAGTATTTAAATACAAAAATGTTACTTTTAATGCTATTGATTATCATATAGCTAATGCAATCGTTAATTTTTAGATTACTAGAAGGTATGCAGAATTTAGTGCAGCAATGGTAAGCGTAGTCGAGGGATTCCCTTGTGAAGGAGCAACTCAGTTACTAGCGGAACTGAGAGAAGCTGTACAATTCTTCTTGTTTAGAATGGCAGCTATCTTCCAAAACCGAATGCAGCAATTAATATTTCTTATCAATAATTACGATCTGGTGCTTGGAGTATTAATGGTAAGTATATTCTACTTTACATTAAAGAACTTCTGCTTTAAATATCAAGGGACAAGAATATTATGCTTAAAGGAGAGAACACGAGACAATTCCAAGGAAGCGGAGAGCTTCCGAGAACAATTGAACGCACGTTCCTCTGAGTTTGTTGAAGAAGTCTTGAGCCCACATTTTGGTGGTATAATTCAGCTGGTGAAGGAATCGGAGGCCCTAATCGAAAAGGGCCAAGCCGACGATTTGAAACGACAGGAAGGGAAAGCACTGGCTTTGGTGCAATCTTTCACGAACAATTGGAAACGAGCGTTAGAAGAGATACATCGGGAGGTATTAAAGTCGTTTCCCAATTTAGTGCTGGGCGGTGCATTAGTTCAACGCGCAATGACGCAATTGGTGCAATATTATCATCGTCTTCACAAGATCCTGCCGCCGAATGCGCGTACGCAACTTACAAATATCCATCACATAATGGTGGAAATTAAAAAATACAAGACGAATTATTAGGCAATTGAGATCTGATCAAGTTGATTCAAATCTAAAAGATGATCAAAGTATAAGCTAGCTACTTGTTATAAAAGAATCTCCGAATACTGTATATAGTGTATTTTACTATTATATATTATGTACAGTACTATTTCAAAGTGATAATTATTTATTAAAGAAAGATATAATTTTTGCTTTATTATCAAGTATTCTTTCGTGGAAGGAAAATCGGAAGAGTATTCTTGTAAATATAATTCGCAGAGAGAAATAAATTCTGTACATTTATTTATAAAATAATACAAGCTACAAATAAAATGCTAAGCACACACATGATATCGCGTTCACATTCTATACAATAGCGATTAATTCTGCGTACTCTTATGCATATGGTACGAGTACATGGAATCTCTGTATTGTGTGTACGCCTATCTTATATGTATATAAATTAGTATATGTATACAATGTTAAAAATGGGGTCTCGTTACTTTTTCCTTAAATTTCGCGACACCTATGGCATAAATTCAATTTATTGGTGAGTGAATCCAATTGCGACGCGGGGCGAGTATGTATATTATGCAAATATAATGATACTAATTACTCTGATATCTATTGCTATGTGCATTCTCCCTCTCGCACTTGTGTAAAAAAATTATGTTTACCATACGTCCTTCGAGAATTGTACATAAATGTTACATTACAAATGATATATCACCTGCGTGATTGCAATCTATGCTGCAATTCAATATCGTCGATTCATACGCACCGTTCAAACCGTAGATTTACAGAACTCCGTCAATAGCGTGCAATACTCCATTCGTTGCTGGCACATTATGAGTTACAACGTGTGCCTCGTTTACCCGCACTCGCCCTGAAGCAATAATATATGCATTATATAAAAATCTATTTCATTTATCCAATGTCATTAATCTTCTAAACATTGCATAACATTTTTACGAACACTCAATCGAAAATCTAATAGGCAAAGTTTACTGTTACGATGCTATAGTTGTGTAAGAGGAATAAAATAGTTATACACTCATAAATTACGTACCACCGTTTTTATGAATATGAATTGGCGACTGCGGACGAAGAGTGTCCTTTTGGATGTAATACCTCATGCCTGCTGTATAAAGAGTCGTCGGAATCACGTGCCGCGAGATTATAGCCTTTGCCGCTTCCGCACCGTCCTCTTCGGTCCAAATTGGTCCGCCGTTTTTCCCATCGGTGAAAGCGGAATCGATCGGTGCAAAGACAGTGAATGTCTTCGGGCCTACAATTGAAGAAAGTTTAAATATTAAACAATAAAAACAGTTGCGAGAATTCAAAACGATTCATCGAATTTGCAAATAAAAAATATAGAAAGGATATATCCTCTGTATACTAGAGATTTGTAGATCAGGAGAGTCGCGCTTTTGACGTCACCTTTTTAACTTACCTGCGAGCGTATCTTCTAAGCCTGACACGTGGAGCATTCTGAGGAACATGGTGAATCTCCTCTCACGATCGGCTTGCAGAGTCTGCACCAAATCTCCGACCGGAAGCGGGAACATGACCCTATCGACGGCGTGAGCGATACCTTGAGGAATTTCAATGTCCCGTTTGTTGGGCGCGACGCGAGCTCCGTTTATCGTCGTTACCTATTTGCAAACAATGTAAAATTATAAATGAAGTGAAACGTGAGCCGTGCGATATATAATTATCTTTGTCAGATCTGATTATCTTCTGTATGTTAAGTGGACGCATCTTGTGAGAAGTGGATTGACATTATAGTGCAACATCAAGCACGATTTCTAGCAAATTTGCAAAGGTCAATAAACTCGATCGTGCATAAACACACAAAAGCTAATACATCAAGATGCTTAATAAAATAATTAATTCATTAATTATTTGTAGTCAAATATTTTTTTATTGAATAGAGAAAAAAATATGAGAGACATGACGCGACAACGTAAATTAATTAATTTAATAAAATTTAATTAAATAAAGAAAATAAAAAATTTCAAAGAGACGAATAAGTTTTCTCCACCAAAAATGGAAATTTTAAAAATATAAAATTACTTTTACATCGTTCCATTCATGATCCTGCATCGCATATTCATTTACTCGCAATTGCGTTCCAGCAAGACTGACGCCGGTCATCTCGTCCTGCAGGGAATCGATCCTGAAAGCTCCTGGTATAACGTGATGAAGGAGGAGCTGTTATAATAAAAATGTTCATCAATATGAATTTCTGTGTAAACATTCGCGATTTCTAATATTTGCTACAATATTTACTTAGTTTATTTTACATATATAAAACGTAACGAATTCAAATTTCATCAATGTACAATCAGCTAACATCGCAGTTAGTGAAATCTATCATTAGGAAAAACATTATTAATGATGCGCTTATGTATACATAACATAATGATGCGTACCCCACTTAAGAGTCTCGGATTATCGTGGAACTTCTCTTCAGCTTTCTCTGGTCCTCCCAGCTGTACTAATAATGTCCTGAATGCCTTGTCTGTAGGGATGAATATAGTGTATGGACCTGTAATATTATAAAACGATATAGTGTATTATAAATTATAGGATTATATATTGTGTAACAATGTTAAGCAACTTTGATTCTTCGCTTTATTAAAAATCTTTCTAATCCATAAAATTTTCTTCAAATGAAAGAAACATTAAAACGGTTTTAACTAAAAAAATAACTATCGAAAATGCGGATCTTTTATTAGTAAAATTTAATTAATCAAGAAAATGAATTAATAAATGATAAGATTATATTCAATTAAGTTTTACTTTAAATAAATTTCAATTTAAAATTCAATTTAAAAAAACAAAATATTTTTTTTAATTAAAAAGAAAATATTTAAGTAATCTTTCCTCTTTTTTGTTTCTTTTTTATTTTACGAGACATATATTTTCTCGCAGATGTGAAATACCTTGATCAAATGTGAAAAGATATGCAATCTTGTTAATATATCTCAATTAACGGATGTACGCAATAGTTTTAGTATTAATATATCCATGTCAATATGTACTTTCTCATTTTCTAGACATTCTCTTATTCGAGCGCAATTATACATGAATCTATCATTCATAATCGTCATCAAAGGAAAATCATGTCATTCGAGAACGTGATGAAGTTGCACAATCTTCTAATCTACATTTGCATTCGTAATAATCTAATCAATGAAAATGGAACTGTATATTTAATCAAGAAAATAGACTAATAAATGATTAAAAAGATTATATTCAATTAAATTTTACTTTAAGAAAAAATTCAGTTAAAAAAATACAATTAATAAAGAATCGTTATTATAAAAAATATTGCGGAAAAAGAGCGCTTAAAGGACATATACATATATAATTAACTTATACTATATGTTAATGTATTACAAAGAAGTTTAACTTGAACTGCATTCTTCGTGATACGTCAGGAATGAATTTTACACTTATTAGACACATAGGGAGAATAGCTATTACGTAATTCTCTTATATCGTATGATTATATCACATATAATTTTTTATGTGCGTGCATTTTTATATTTAATTTATAAAATAAATCTTTTGATTATTAACATGCAAAAAAAGAGAAATCAAAATCTAAAAAATTGAGACAATGCACTAAGCAAGTTAATGATGACGCCGACAATTATAACGAGTGGTTAAACCTCGCGTGTCTTTTTTGCAAGATTTCGCGAAACGAGGAACGCCTCGTCTTTGTCTTCTCGTAAGATGGAGAGGCAACCGTGTCGAAATCTCGGCAGTGAGTCGTGAGAAGATTTTTTCTAACGAACGTTGCACGACTAAAGCGAAACACGAGATACAAATGACGGTAGATTGTGCAAAGAGAGACCAACAGGATTATTTGTACAATCGTTTGAGTCTGAAAACAGGAACTTATTTGAGATGTAAGTGTTATCCTCTCCGGCTTGCAATGTTATTGGATAAGACTGTCGGCGGTCTTGCAGTGTTGCGCAGAAAACTTATTTTGCAAAATTATATAACTTTCTCGTAATATTTTGTATATCAAGCTTTATTTAATGTATTATCTGTTATTATGTTAATTTAATTTTTATTTCGAGAAATCTCTTGCTCAATAAGCTTAATAAAGCATCATTGTTAAATATATAATGCTATCATATTTTGCTCATCTTTATACCTGTTTCATAAACTGTAAGCTTCGCGAATTGAAATGGAATTGCATGTATCTGCTTTAAATCATGTTATGTTAACGTTTACAAATTACTGTCTGCCAAGGAACTTGCTCTCTAAATTATTCATTGATACTGAAGCGACTATATCATCGAATGATGATTGGAAATTTTTTATAGAATCTTAAAACCAAGCCTGTGTCAACTTTCGCTTAATATCGATGCAAATTATGAGGGGGAAAGTTTGAAAGTGTCTCCGAAATCTTTACTTTCATTTATAAAACGGAAAACTTCTTCTAAACAACCACTTACTCCCCAGCGTGTTTTATATTTATGTTATAAGAAAAAGTCATAACATTTAAATATTATGACTAAATTATTACAAGTATCTTTGATACTTGGACTTACCAGTTTCGTTCAATACATTATCCAATCCTGATTGCCTCAGATACTTTGCCATAGCAAAGAGACCCTCTCTTCTCAACAGCGCGGCTAAGTTATCCTGTGAAATTTCCGTCGAAGGAATGGTAGTCCCTTGGAAGTCACTTTGTGAAGAAACGATATTTTCGTTCTGCGAGTTAGAAGTGCTGTGAGACGACACTCTGAACGTCGATGAAGCCTCCGTCGATGATGGATATTTGGAAAAATGAATGTAAGAGGTTGGCGGCGTTGCTGTTGTCACGACTTCGTTCACCGGCGCCATCGTCGGGATAAATTGACTCCTAGTAGATGACGAATACTTGGTGGTCACACGAGAAGTGTGGTCTGACAAGCTTGTCTTGGTCGGGCTGGGATTTAACGCATTGTATACGTGGCCCGTAACACTGGACGCCGAGGTCACGTATTTGTCGGTTGTGGATACCGAGTTTGGCGATACAGTAACGTAAGGGAAATAATCCGTTGTTGACTTGCTGAAAATTTGATTTTCTTTTTTAAAAAGCCTGCCGCGAGTATCATTTACTCAACGATAAACATAAATGGGTGGAAAATGTTAAAGAAAAGCTCGAATCAAATAACGCACATAGAAAGCTAAGTGAATTCGATTTCTACAATCGCATCGTAATAATTTTCAAATAAATTAAGAATAGAAGCATACACATTTATGCGATTCAATATGTGATATACTTATACCTTTCGCTGTGTTTTGAGACGGATCTAAGAGTGGTGGGTCTAAAGGTCGACGCCGTAGGGCTGACAGATTGAAGAGATACTTTGGATGTACCAGTGGACACTAAATTTGGATTGAAGCTGGATTCAAACTGTGCAAGCGTGGAAGACTGGGTAGTCGATCCAATCGAACTGGATGGTAGCTTCAGCTCGCCTTTCTTGATCCTTTCAACGATAGACTCGACATCGATGCCGCTTTCCTTGTCATTGGCGTTGCCCTTGACACCCTGAACTTTGTAACTGCCATCTGGCTGCTCCTCTAACACGACAAATGTGACCTTCTTGGCCGGATTTTGAATGATCGGCGTCTTGCCGATCTCCTCGAGCTTTCCGTCGCTCTTTTGTCGGATTATCTCGAAATCTGCGCCTGGCGGCAGCACGCCACCCTTTGTTAACTCTTCGAAGATCGCCTTCGGTGGCTTGATAGTGGTCGTGGACAAGGATGCTTGAACGGTAGAGTCGCTGATCGATGGCGAGATGGAAGACAAACCGTTCGGCGCGTGAATAACTTGAATCTTCTTGCCGTTCGGCAATATCAGATCCCTCGTAGTGACATTTCTGACGAGATCATCATCGTCGCCGGACTGAGCTATAGCAAGTTTGAGCTGTTTCAGCAACAATTCCCTATCAGAAACCGTGGATTGTTGAGAGTTTCTGTTTTTACTGCTAGAATTTTGTCGTGTAGTGCTAGGTTTCTCGGTCTGATAGATCACCTTGATCTGCGGCTTCAGTTTGTCCTGCTGCGATAACAATCGATTTTCTTGATCCTGAATAAGACTGAGTAGATGCTCCGGTATCTCTTGACGGTTCTTGGTGGTTATTATACGTTCGGACGGCGAAGGTGTCGTAGTAGTGATCGTCGTGCTCGTTATTGCCGTTGTTGTATATTTTTTCTGATGATTAGCAATTGCCTTAAGGAAAAGCTCCGCTTCAGACGGTGTGATTCGTCGTGCCTTTGGCGAGGACAGCAGCAACGGCGCGGAAGTAGTGCTGACAATAATCGGAGCCGATGTTATGGTTGGTGCCGCAGTAGAAGTGAGCCTCTGTAGTTGCTCAAGTCGCAGCAGCTCTTGCTGCCTGCGCAATTCTTGCTGCTGATACAGCAATTGTTCTCGTTGCTTCTGCAACTGTTCCAGTTCGCGTTGTTTCTCGATATACTCCTGCAGCTGCACCGTCTGCTGGTCGCTAAACAGTGGTTGCGACAGGTCTTGATGATGATTCTGATTTTGGAAGCCATTCTGATTGTACTGGCCATTATATTGCTGCTGGAATTGGGGTGTCTGAACTGAGCCGCCACCGTTCACCAAATTCGAAGCACTAAACTGTTGGGCGATCTTTTGCTGCTGTCGTTGCAAGAGTTGCTGCACTTGTTGTTGTTGCTGCAGCAATTGCTGCAACTGTTGCTGCTTTGCTCGATCGACCTTGTATTTAGCCAAGGAAGAGTACGGCGTGCTGGATTGTATTTGTTCGTATGGGGAAAAGGACGTTACTCGTGGACTTTTGGAATCTTGCGTGGGACGCCGATATCGGTTCTGATGTTGCTGCACGTCGCTCAATATTTGGGCTTGCTGGGAAACCGAGAGACGAGGTCGCGCATCGAGCACAATGCGTCCCTAGAAATAAAAATTTACACAAATATATTTCTCAAGGAAAATTAATTCTCAAGGAGAAAATAAATCAAATGTGTAAGTTTTTTTAAATAATTACAATCTACTTTAAATTTTGGTAAATAAAAAAGTCATTGAATATTAATATAAATATAAAATGTAATTAAAGTTAAAAAAATCTCTTATTTATATATGATGATCAAGTCTTTAAATAAAATTGTTCTCATTATTTATTATATGTGAATGTTGGTGAATTCTGGACAAAAGCATGACGAATCATATCGTCAGAAGCAGAGCTTTCTAAAGACTATATATAATAATGAATATTAAATTAATGTAAATAACAGATGATAAATCTCTAACTTATAAGAGATAAATGTATAAGGTACATATACAGATTTCATAATAATGACACGTATTTATATTTTTGTTTCAAAATTTACATTGCAAGATTTTTCGCTTAGAGTATTATTACGATTATTTCAGATCGTGCACTATAATTTTTTTAAAATTATATTCTCATTATGAGCACGTTAATACACTCAACAAGAATATACATATGTATAAAAAATATAAATTTAAAAACTTGTTAAATTTGTTCTTCAATCTTGTTACAAATGACCACACGGTTAATAATTTTTTGTAGTTTTATTTTACTGAAATATTCTAACTAGACAACTTGCTATGTATGGCAACAAGATAAAATCTTTTAAAAGCGAAAGCAAATCGGATCTACTTAGCGATTCGCGGTGATTCAATGTATGTATAAGCTTGTGAATTATTGTACATGTGAATTTATATTCCCAGGCACTCGCTGCAAACTAAGTGGAAAATCGACGAGAAGATTGCTTTGTGATTTAGTAAAAGTTGACACATCGTATGTACATATTCACTCTCATTCTGTGACCTACTAGTAGTGTACAATTTAAATCAATAGATATTTAATATTTCAATCTTACGACATGTACTTTAATTTTTTTTAGGAAAAAAATAATCTTTCAAATAATTTTTATATTACTTAAATCTCTGACTTGTGTGTATTCGCGTAATATAAAATTTGTTGTATAGAACACAGTATAAAAAAATTAATTAAGAAGACCCAATGACGAGTCTTTGTATTGTAAAATTGAATAAATTCTCAAATTTTAATAATAGACAACATTTTGTATCAACAACTTTTAATAAGTCAAGAGTCAGCTGTAGCTCTTATATATGTATACATATGTTGTACTATGTAATAAATTTAGAAATTTATTAAAGATTTCACTTCTCCGATCCATATATCACAAGCTCGCTAATTCCTGTTTATTGGTTCCATTATCGCTGCTATTATCGGTGCTATTATCGCTATACAAGACTTAGCGTAGTGCGCTCTCAAATTCATTGTTTCTTTTATTATGCGTACGAGAAAGACGTGAATAATCAAGATGGCCATAATTAAGAGAAGCATTGTTCGATCTCCCTTTCTCTCGGGTGCCTTCTGCCGTCGTGGACCTGTTGTGGGACAGGTCTTCGTGTCTTCTCGAGAAAGTGCGACCTACTGCAGTTTCCATTTCGCGCCTTTCGCACACATAACAACTTATATACATATATATCATGTTCGAATGGATTTATCGGCGTATATACATATATATATATATATATATATGTGTGTGTGTGTGTGTGTGTGTGTGTGTGTGTGTGTATGAATATATACTAGTTCTTTATATAACAATTTCACAGTCGATATCCGCATTTGCAACATTCCGCATTTTTTTGCAGCTGTAACATTTATAAAATATTCATATTTCATCCTTTTTCTTTTCTTCAGAAAGAAGAATCATGTTAAATATTGTTATATAAATTTTTGACTGTTATATATTCAATTATATTTTATTATGATAATCATTACTATAGAGTTGCCACGTTTTAATTCACTTTCATTTAAATCACTTTAATTGTCGAAAGCAAAATGTGGTATTTCTAACAAGTTTTTAATTTTTATTTGTAGAAAAGATCTGGAATAAATTGACGATTAAAATAATGGTTTCAATATCGTGAAAAGAGTGAAATATAATATAAACATCCTTCTCATGAATTTCAATTTTAAAGCATGTCAGCAAATATGCTATTTGTAATTTTCTATGCAATTTTCTATGTCAATCTTAAATTATTTAAATAATACGACATATCGTCGTTTATTATTAAATATTAAGAAAAAAAAATACATCTAATATAATATGATTTTTCCTAAATTATCAAAAAACATTAAAGATGATTTAAAATCTAATATATAACTAACTAATATATAGAAAAAGTTTAAATCAAATGTAAATTCGCTAATTTGTGACAAAATATTTCAGGTTTTATCATTAGCTTTCATTATACAATCGATTATTATTGGTACCGTGTTAAAATAATTCTACTATATATTTGCATACACAATTTTTGATAAATTCACATGTCAAATAATTTTTTTTTTTTAATTAAACAAATATAAAGTTATTTATACTGATTTCAATAATACAGCTTCAATAATGTACTAGTTCAATTTCAAATACCGTGACGAGATTATTTAGCCCGAGGACATTGCGAGTAGTTTTTAAAGTCATTCACGATTGCATTTCGCAAGTTGCAATCTGTTTCTCATCGGGGCTATACAATCTCAATTCTTCAAAGTGATTAACGTTAATGATAAATAACGTAGTACATTTTTTGTATCATGTCAATGATCGCGAGAGCGTCGTTAGAAGTTGATTGAAAAATTTAAAAAAATTGTGTATTGTTTTAGCGCAATATTTGTTAAGTGTTACAAGGATGTTGCGATTATGCATAATCTATATATTTTTTCCATTTTTGCATTTCGCGGTGTATGCACTTCGAGCTCACTAAAAATGGTAAATCTGGGTTCTGTAAAAAGATAAAAAAAGAAGTAATCTTCGAGAGCTCACTCGATTTCGATCGATTAAGTTGCGCATCAAGAAATCGCGAATTCCTATTGCTTTCTATTATTTGTGCCATTTTCCATGCCATGACAAAAAAAACCATTCGCATTTCGGAGCATGCAAAACAGTTGGAATATTAAAAACGTTGTGAAAGGAGAAGGACGTAAATAACGCCGAGAAACGTGCGCGTTTCGAGCAGCAAAAGAATTTTTAATGTCTTTTCTGGAATTGAATCTCTCTCTCTTTCTCTCTCTCTTTCTCTGTCATAGTTGCAAATGAGCCACCTGACAATTTGTACGATCGCCTCGAGAAATAGTTTGCCTCTGTGGAAGATAATTGAGGCCTAGAAAGTGACGGCATCTTCACAGAGAAACTTTGGAATACTGTAGTAAGAATGACGGGGCACCCCATTTGACGATTCACCACGCAGATTTGGATTTTGCGGAAATCCAAAATCGCGTCCAATTCCCTCTTCGATTCAATAAATATTTATAATTTTTTTATGACAAGGAAGTAATAAGTACTAAAAAAAACTCCAACTACTTTCCCCACAAATGAGATTTATGAAAAAAACCTTATTGAAAACAAATATATGAGTACATAACAAAAAAAAGAAAACATTTTATTTTTATCGTAAAGATAATTTTAATTAATAAGAAGAATATTTTTGATGTTCGAACGTGAAGACAATGTTATCTAAATTCTTATATATATTTGAAAGATGCTTAAAAAAACGAATAAATGCAATCCTAATAATATTTTGCATTGACAGTTTATCATCTGAATTAAACAAGGCAATGTAAAATAGAATATAATGAGATTAAATCAAATACTTGAACAAACGGATACATTCGCATTCACTTGGGAATAAATATTAGAAATCGCGAATCGTGTAAAGAAGTTTCAGTACATGACACGATAGATATATCACACGTGGCTTAATATCATCGCATTTAGAACAGTTTCCGTATACAGAAAGAGAGCAAGCTGACCACAATGCGAATTAACGTGAGAAATCCTCTCACTTTCGAGAGCTTCAAGATCGTAATTGCGAACAGTTATTGCTATCACAGTTTGGAAAATTCTCTCCACTGTAAACACACAGAAGGCTTTGACAATTAATAACTCTACCAAAGATCTTGAGTAATAATTGCGATGTTTAACTCATCAGTCTGAAGCTTTTTCATTTTCAACATTAAACACACAAATCATATTATAACTTATTAAATTGAAAATTATTATAATTCAAAATAGCAATCACTTAAAATTAAACGAAAAATTTTGTGTTTCTTTTTTGCAGTCGTTCAGCTTAATTCGTAATTAAAAAATCCTTGCATATATCAAATATGAAACAACTCATCGTTTAGCTTTTACATATCCATTAAATCTGTTTACTTTTTAAGAGGTATTGTGAATTATATAATTATATAATATATATAATAATATAATATAATATCATAATATATGTAACAATATAATCTAATATCATAATATCATCGATCATTATATAACATGTATAATGGTTTTCGGAAGAAAATGCGATAGAGGAAATGGAAATGGAATATATAATTCATTCCAAGCATATAACGTCATTACTTTCCTCTTACTTGCTCGAAGCGATTATCGGTTTTCTCGGCAATTCAAAGATCAAGGAACAGCTCGGGTGTGTTTATAACACTCGTAGAGAAAAGGAGCTGAGAAACCTAGCGACTAGAATAAACGTTCTCCTTTTTTTTCCAGCTGTGGGAAACTCTCAGCCACCGGACTGCACTTGGCTTTTACGATGATCGTGCATCGCATAGATACGAACGGTTTATATATAGTCGCAAGAAACCGCACACATCTACGTTATTTATTTCAGATTGATAATTTCAGACATGCGTACTGTATCTCTCTTTTTACGTTGACGTTATGCAAATTTACTTCTGCTTTTCCTCACTCGTCAAATTGATTGCTATGATTAAATTTTTATTATAGGATAAAAGTGCACTTCCTATTTTCGAGATCTAAATTAATTTGGTTCTAAAAACTTTGACTTTCTAATCTGTGTTTAAATTTCATATTAAATTTTTATTATTTATT